TGAGGCTGAAATTGCTGCCAAAGGTGCTTCAACAAAATACTGAGTAAAGGGTCTGAATACTTAAGTATATATTTCAGTTTTTTCTTTTTAATAAATTTACAGACATTTCTAAAATTCTGTTTCCACCTTGTCATTATGGGGTACTGAGTGTAGATTAATGAGGGGGAAAAAATGAATTTGAACAATCGTAGTATCAGGCTGCAACATAACAAAATTGAAAAAAGTAAAGGGGATCTGAATACTTTCCAAATACACTGTATGTAATACATTGGTTTTAAAAGAGCCATATGTTAAGAATATATTGCTTTCTTTTTAGTGGGCATGTAACCAGGAAAGAATTGAGCTCATTTGTTACAACTACAAGTTGTCCTCACTTAATGACCACAATGAAGTTACAACAGCTCTGAACGAATGGTCATTACACTCTTCGAAGTCACAGCCATTGCAGCATCCCCGCAGTAATATGATCAGAATTTGGGTGCTTGGTGGCCTGCCCACATTTATGACTGCAGCGTGCACTTCACCCCCCCACCTATCTCCCCATATCTCTGCCCTTTTGGCTGCCCTGCACTCTGCCGCTGCTGCCTACCCCTGCAAACCCCAGTTGACCTTCGCCACCTTCTTCCTCCCGCTGCTGATGAGACGCACCTGCCAGACTAGCTGCTGGCCCTTTGCGAGGCCTTGTGAGGCCTCGCAAAGGACCAGTAGCTGCCTTGGCCAGGCATGCCTCAGCAGCAGGAGGAAGAAGACGGCAACGTTCAGCGGGGGGTGGCTGAGGTAACCAGTGGCGGAGTGCAGGGTGTCCAAATGGCAGAGATGGGGAGTTGAAGGAGAGATGAGCGTGGTAGGGCAACAGAGCTGCATTTGCTGAAGAGAGCTTACCAGGCCCAGCCAGGAAGGATGCAATGGGATGGAGCTGGCAGTTTGCACAGGGCAGGAGAAACACGAGGTCCTTGCCTAATAATGGCATGGTCCTTGCCTAATGACTACAACTGGGAGTACCAGAACTGCCATCGCTAAGTGGTGTGGTCACATGATGTTTCGCCTTACAATCGCTTTGCTTAGCAACAGAAATTCCAGTCTCAAGTTGGATAAATAAAGGATTTAGATTGAATAATTTGACAAACGCTTTTGGTTTTCAGATTGAATTGATTGGACTTGTCTTACGTCTTTCCCTTCAGAAGGGATGTGACTGCATTTCAACCTAAGTAATTCTGAAATAGGCAGCCCTCAAAGCCGAGAAGCTGCCTGTGCTGTTCTTTTAGTGGACTGCTTGGAGGTCTTCCAGTGGGTGAGACTGGCCAAAAGTTTCATTCTTACCTTGATCATTGCAGGCAAACCGCACATGCCCCATCTGCCGAGCAGATGCTTCAGAAGTGCACCGGGAGGCTGAATGAGGTTCGTCAATGCACTGCTGCACAAATTTACTCCAGGATATGGACCTTGGACCAGAGGCATGGGCCAGCCTGTACGCTTAGCCTCTGGGGCCTCTCCTGGGATGCGGTGAGAATATAAGCAATGTATGACACCCCCTCCCCCTCACCCCATGGCATGGACTGGGCCTGGTGGTTGAGCCAGCTCTGCGGTGTCATGCTTTGTAGGGGGAGGCATCCCCACGTGCTCTGCACTCCAAAGACTCTCCATCCTTGCACCATTATTTTCCAGGTGTTTGCATTCCTTCTTGGTTTGGGGTTTTCCTTTCCTATTTGGTTTTGTGGCTGTCTGACCCAGATTTTTATCCAAATTCATTCCTTTCTGGCAGAGCCAGATTTGGGGGCCTTGAAAGCAGAACAGTTCCAAGGGAGAGGGGAAGAAGTGCCTGCTTCAACCCTACCACCTGCTTGCCTAGAGTACAGTGTTGCAAGGTAGTCAGTAGCGGGGAGTACGTTGGTTGCAACACTGATGTAAGCCACTTGAGGCCTTGCCAAAAACATCTGTGGCTGTCTCCATGCAAATCATGGCCCAGGACCACCTTGTGTTTTTCCCTACACATGCACAGAATAGTCCCACCAGCGTCTCAGACTCTCCCTCCCCTTGCATGCATGCAATGTTGGGTGGAGTTCAGGGTTGTTCTCACAAGTTGCACAGTGAGGTAAAGAAAAATGGGCCTAAACTAAGTCCAGCAATATTCTGCTGCAAGGCAGTTTTGGGGGAAAGACCCATTTCCCCCCAGAAAGCTTGGAAGAGAGGAGGAGTATGCAAGTGAAAATCCCTACAATAAAACAGCCGGCTCTGTTTATTGCATACTTAATGAGATGGAGGCTTGTGGCTTGTGTTTTGAGATATAGAATCATGTAATAATTGATGTGTCTTCCTTTTATTTTCCCTTTGCACACTCAGACCCCAGATCATTGTCCTAGTAATGCATTTGGGTTCCTATTCCTTCTCGGTACCCATTTCCAGAAACCATCTCTCCTCCATCCAGTTTTCGAGTATCCCCGGGAGACTGCGTGCATATGCTCTCCCCTGGTGTAGGGGAGGGAGAGATGTTCAGCAGACTGAGGCAGAAGCCTTCAACCGCCCCTTTGTCAGTTCTCTGTCCTAACTCCAGGTTAAGCCCTGAGAGTTGTTGGGCAGCTGCGGAGCGCTCAGTGGTAGGATCCTGGGCGGAGAGCAGGCAGGAATATTTATCTTATTATTTACCCTTGCACTAGCCATCATGGAGAAAGCCTTTCTGGTGATCATTCCTTCCTCCATGAGGCTGTATGCAGTGCTGAGTCAGCTTTCGTAGGACCAGGCATGCCTTGTCATCCTACCTTTTTCTCTCTCTCTTTCAATTTCTTCCCCTCGGCAGTCCCGTCCCCCCCCCATTTCCCCTCACATTTGGCCTACTGATGCTCGTTCTTGATGAGTTTTTCTGTATGGCCTGATGCTTGTGCGCTCGGTCAGGAACCATGGGCGATTTGGCCGTGACACTCAAGCTGTGTGCCTTCCTGTGTCTGCACACACACACACTCTCCTACCTAAAATACCTGCTGATTTGAAGCAAGAAAGCAACCAACCTGCCACCCTGTTACAGAAACCTGTTATCGTAAAAATAATAATTTTAAAAGTTGTTTTGCATGATTATACCATGGAATAAGAGAGAAGCCCTCGCCATTTAGTTGGTTTGTGTCTGAAGCCTGGAAGAATCAGAGAAGATGATAAAAATCTAATGTAAATGTTCACAAATTATGCATGCATGTTATGACCAGCTTGGAACTTGGTATTGGCTATCTCTCTAGCCAGCTGTGGGGTGATGGGGTGGGTGGGAATGAGGGGGTTCTTTGTGCTCAGCTGATTACTGCCATGCACTGTACTGCACATGTCCGCAACGCCTCACAAGGACCGTTAACGCTTTTCAGGGCATTTCTCTCTCCCCTCCCTCCCCTCCAAATTAGAGATTGGTTTGAAACCAGGTTGGGTTAGGAGGCAGCATGGTTTTAGTAGAGAGCCAGTTTGGTGCAGTGGTTAAGGCATCAGGCTAGAAACTGGGAGACCATGAGTTCTAGTCCTGCCTTAGGTACAAAGCCAGCTAGGTGACCTTGGGCCAGTCACTCTCTCTTAGTCCCAGGATGCAAGCAGTGGCAAACCACTTCTGAAATCTTGCCAAGAAAACTGCAGGGACTTGTCCAGGCAGTCGCCCGGAGTCAACACTGACTCAAAAGTGGCTTTAGTGGACTTAATTTGAGGTAGGGTTGTAAAGCTTGCAGAGGCAGAAATCCTGTGCGTTAATAGCTGCCTTGGAAGGAGCACTCTGGCAAGGTCACTTTCTCCTTCATGGTGCTGCAGAAGTAGGAGAAAAGGGGCCTGCTGACCACTCCTTTCTTCTCCTCCTCCTCCCTGCCTTCCTTGTCTAGTTTGTCTTGTCCTGTGTCAACTAGTAATGCTCCAGGGCAAGTCCGGCAGTGTGTGGCTCTTAGTCAGAATCTGGTCTCTGCCTACCCACGATGATAGAGTTTGTGCTTTCCTTCGGTTTGATTGGCAGCTTCTGCCCTCCCTCGGTTACACTCCTCCAAGTGGCAGACTCAGACTGATGGTTAGAGCTCTTTCCCCCTCAAAGTGGGTGGCGGCAGATAGGAGCAGAGACTACAATGGAGCCTGAGGCTGGGTCCTGCTCCTCAAAGCCAGGAAGCATTCCCTGAGCCTTTCTGGAGAAGTGGGCCATCTTCCTTGTGCTCTGACATCCAACTGTTCTTGGCAAGGGGGCCTGATGAATTTATGGAACAGCCAAGCAGAGCTCTACTCAGGGCCACATGGGTATGAAGGAGCAGTGACAAATGGATTAGGCAGTGTAATGTCCCCCAAGTCTGAGAGGGCTTGAGTGGCTGGTAGTGGGAAGAGCAGCAACTCCACTTTTTCCTGTGGAGTGCTCTGAACTTGATGGTAACTGGAGGGAAGTGGTTCTGGTGTAGTATAGCTGTTGGTGTTTTTCTGAACATGCCAACTTTCAGCAATATTTACAGGGAGTCCTTGACTTACAACCATTTGTTTAATAACCATTTGAAGTTACAATGGCATTGAAAAAAGTGACTACCAGCCCTTGCACTTACGACCATCGCAATGTCCCCGCGGTCATGTGGTTAGACTTCGGGTACTTGGCAACTGGCATGCATTTACAACAGTTGCAGCATCCTTGAGTCACGTGTTCATATGACCCCTGGCATTTGTGAACTTCCCAGGGGGCTTCTGATAAGCAGAGTCAATGGGGGAAACCGGATTCACTTAACGACTGGGATTTGCTTAATGACTGTAGTGATTTGCTTAACTGCTACCAAAAAGGGTGCGGTAAAATTGGGTGCAACTCACTTAATGACCACATCACTTAGCGATTGAAGTTCTGGTCCTATTGTGGTTGAAAGTCAAGGACTACCTAAACCTCTAAAGTAGAGAATCTTTGGGTTGTGGCTGGGGCCAGCTGGCCTTTTGCCACTGGTGCTGATAGCCGTGTCTGGTGAGGTGAGCAGCTTCTTCCCCAGAAGTTGTTGATTTGACCCAGGTGAGGCAAGGCGATCCTCAGGGTGCAAGGAGGAGGAGAGGGAGGCTTGCAAACTTCGTTCTGGCCTCTTCTGCCATAAACAACAACAATAGTGCTTAATAATAAAGATCCTCAAACCTTTAGTTCCTGCAAAGACACAACAAGGCAGGATGGATAGACTGGCAGTCTTTTATTTGAGAGAAGCAGCTGGCCTGCAGATTTATCAGCAAATTAGAAGCTCTGGGCAGGTCCCAGCTTTCTTTCTTGAATAATCAATTGTGTTCCATTTGTCAAGATGAAGAGCAATGCTACTTTTTAGGAGTCTCTCTCCTCTTGCTCCACTCACCCCGCTTACGTTTGGGGGAAGTGAGTTATAACTTCAAATAAAGAATGTCCTCCTTCCCCTCCCCCTCTTCAGAGGGGGAGACTAGCTGCAGTGGGACATCTAAGCCAGGTCCTGGACCGAGCACACAAACACACCAAGGAGCAGGCCGCTTGCCATCCTCTCAGACTGCACAGACACCAGCAGCTTCTCCTTCCCAGTCTTCCCGTGATCCGTCACGCTCCCTCTCCCCTGCCATGTCAAGCCAGTGCCTTGTGTCAGACCCACCTCTCCCCCAGCCTTTCCCCTTGTCTCACAGCTTTTGGAAGGAGAGAGAGGGGAAAACAGCAACAACCACCCCTTATTCCGTGTGATACAAATAACCAAAGGTCTTTACTGTACATATTAAAGAAAAAGAAAAAAAAACAACAGCAAAACACAGGAGGTGTTTCTATATTTATAGCCAATCAGAATAGTGCCGATGCCCATCTGTTTCAGTGTCTCTTCTCCTTCCCCCGCCATCTTTTCAGAAAGGTTATTTGGGGGTGGGGAGGGAAGGAAAGCCTTACGGTTCTTCTGACGGTGACTCGAAAGCTCACAGCTCGTGTGCTGCAGAATTTATTCCAAGGAGCAGCTAAAAGTTATCATGAAAAAAAAAAACAAAAAAATATTACTAAAACATTTATTTAGGATGTTTGTGATTGCTGATTGCGCTGTAGATGCCACTGTTTACCAATGATTTCCTGTGGTGGGATAGTGGGCTGTTTACTGTTCTTTTATACCAGTCCCGTGCCCTCCAGGAGGATAGCTCAGCTTCACCCTACAAGGAGAGGGGCCTCCCTGTAGGGCACCAGGGCATTTGTTCTGTGTTAGAAAGTTTATATATATATATATATATATATTATATA